CATCCAATAATTGCAGGCAAGAAACAGTTCCAAAGAGCATGATCACGAGGGCCGCCTTCAAACGCATTTCGACTTGGCTTTTGGGTTTTACTTATCCGAAGTATAAGACTCGATCGTTTTTTTTTTTTAGATACATCGAAATCCCTCTGAACACTTCTGTCGCTGGTGACGAGTGAATATTAACTCTTTGATTCACGAGTCGCCTGGCATTAAAAATAACAGCGTAAAATAATCACCATTTATCAGATATGACAAATGAAGGTAGTGATAGCAAGCTTCTCTCCTCTTGAAGCAGTCCATGCTTATCTTTACTGGGTGTCACCATTTCTTTTACACTATGATCATTATCTATATCATAACTTTTTAAAAGTAATTTCATAATTTTATTATAAAAGTTATAGTAGTGATGGTGATTATGATAGTAATAATGATATTGATATTCATAATCATAATCATCATAATAATGATAATGCTAATGATAATAATAACAATAACAACAACAACAGTGATAATAATAATGATAATGGTAATAATGAGAAGGATAATCACACCACTGCGAATCACAAGCATCTTCATATCCTTTATAAGAATTTACCGTTATAATGATCATATTAATCACTATCGTTGTCATCATCATGCTTACAGCTAATCGAATGTGACTACGACTCATTTTTTGTTGCTTACCTTTCTCATTGTAAACGTTTCTATTTAGGAGTCAAATAAGGCGTAATTGCAAGCATAAATATATTTGACATGAAAACATACGTGGCGTAATTATATGGATAAAACTTTTTTGGGCTAGCGTACCAATCTTTAGTGTAATATGGATATATACGCACAGTTCTTACCTACCTATGTGTATATACACACCCACAAACACACACACACATATACATATATATTTATATATATAATATAATATATATGTATATATATGTGTGTGTGTGCATATATTATATATATATATATATATATATATATATATATATATATATATACACATACATATATATATTCATATTTAATATAATATATTTGTGTATATATATGCGTGTGTGTGTGCATATATATACATATATATATATGTATATATACATATATATGTATATTTATACATATATATGTACACACACACACACACACACATATATATATATATATATATATATATATATATATATATATACACACACAGATAAATATATATATATATATATATATATATATATATATATATATACATATATATATATATATATATATAAATGTATGTGTGTGTGTAGGTGTGTATATGTAGAAAAAGAATGAGAATGAATATCTTCACAATACAAGAGATGTATCTGACCAGTTTCGATTATATCTTCGTTAGAAATACATACATCTTTAGTGAAATAAGGATACATACATACATGCATACATGCGCACAGTACCTATATACCTATGTACATACACACACACACACTTACACACATATATATGTGTATATATATATATATATATAATATATGTGAGGCCTTTATATATATATATATACATACACACACACACACACACACACACACACACATATATATATATATATATATATATATATATATATATATATATATACATATATATATAATATATATATATATATATATATATATATATATGCATATATATATATATATATATATATATATATATATATATATACATATATGCATACACACACACACACACACACACACACACATATATATATATATATATATATACATACATATATATAATATATATATATATATATATGCATATATATATATATATATATATATATATATATATATATATATATACATATATATATACATACATATATGCATACACACACACACACACACACACATATATATATATATATATATATATAATATATATATATATGCATATATATATATATATATATATATATATACATATATATATGTATATATATATATATATATATATATATATATATATATATATATATATATATACATATATATGGGAGCGCGATGGTCCAGTGGTTAGAGCATTGAACTTGCATTCGTCGGCAAATCCAGGTTCGAGGGTTCGAGTCGCGGCCGGCGCGTTGTTCCCTTGGGCAAGGAGCTTCACCTTCGTTGCCCGATTGTGAATGGCCATATTCATTAAATATGATGAGCTCCTTTGTGAGCCAACGGCCATCCATACCTGGAGATTAGATGGACGCCAACAGGTTACTGTCCTATGAAACAGAATGATGCACACGCCAAAAACTTCTAAGATCGGGACAGTTGGAAGAAGGAGGTGAACGCAGCAAAAGTGCCCCTACGGTCATGTGACTATGGGAATGAAAAAAAAAAAAAAAAAAAAAAAAAAAAAAAAAAAAAAAAAAAAAAAAAAATATATATATATATATATATATATATATATATATATATATATATATATATATATATATATATATATATATATGACTACCACGATGGACCAGTGGTTAGAGCACTGGACTCGAGTCCCGAGTTCAATTCCCCGTCGCGGCGGTCGTAAAAATCAGGCAAGGGTGACACTGCCATGTAACCTCTCAATAGTGAATTGAGAGAGGCCTAAGTCCTGTAGTGGAATGGGTGGCTGTTAAAAAAAGAAAAGAAAAGAAAAGAAAAATACATATGGCATCAAAGCTTTTTTTTCGAATGGAGGCTTATATATATATATATATATATATATATATATATACAGTATTCATGTTGACAAATGTAGAAAAGGTATGAATGAGAATGAATATCTTCACAATACAAGAGATGTATGTAAGTAATATGAGTAATATGAGAAAATTATTAGAAGAGGGTGCAACGTCGGATCTTGCGAGTATCTTCTGCGCCTTCTTTCTGAGGTTTAGCAGGAAGCCTCTGGAGTCTTTATGTTTCATGAAAGAATTAATTATATAGGCAACCTCATTCTCAAGAAATCCAAGGCTGCAGATCCTCAGTGTTATGAGAAAGAAGCCAATTTCAACACCAGAATTTGGTGTTGAAGTAATGGATATCATCATCTTTATTTGTAGGCTTCCTGTATACAGTGAAACGTAGGCCATAGTCACCCCGATGGATTGGAGTGCCCAGGAAAGGTAATTTTCTGGGCACTCGGCAGCGGAAATTTAGCATCTGTCATGGAGCTGGTGACCCTCTCTACTGCTCGGACTGCTTCGTCTGCGGGTACATCGGTAAAGAGGGATTTTACATCAAAACTGGGAAGCTTTTTATTTCTGCACCCGGAACTATGAAGACGCCTGATGAGGTCCCAGGAATTCTTCATGTGGGAATCACTGATGACCCCCATACCGCAGGAGAGGGATTTTGCCAAATACCTAGCTAAACGATGGGGAGCGCTGCCAATACCAGAGGTGATCGGTCTCATCGTTACGCCTAGCTTGCAAGAAGCCTCTTCCAGCAGGTGAAAAAGGCGTGTACCTTCATCTGAACGCAGAACGATGACACATCAGCCATGCAGCACACAGTAATCCCTTTGTCGACGGCTGCGTTATTTCGACTACGTTATCTCGAACCACTGACGTCGACAAAGGGTTCGTCCAAGGAATTGCTGCGTGCTGCATAGATGATGTCATACAGCAGTTAATTTACCACTCGGTAACCGTAGACGTAGAAGGAAAATGAGAACCAGGGCTGTGGTGAACATCTTTATTGTAAACGTTTCGATGACTTACTAAAGCTACATCATCAGAAATAGAAATAATGAACATAATACATAATTAGATACAACAAGAAAAAGAAAAAAATAGTTCATAAAATAGGCAACAAAGTTGGGTAAAAAATGGAAACAAAAAGTAAAAGGCAGAAACTTTGTGGAAAATATACAAAACATGTATAGGAATGAAACATACCTAACAAGTGTGAAATGTGAAATACACACACACACACACACATATATATATATATATATATATATATATATATATATATATATATATATATATATATATGTGTGTGTGTGTGTGTGTGTGTGTGTGTAAATGTATGTATATGTGTGTGTATATGTATGTATATAATAGTATTAATATCTCACGTAATAGTTTACGAATGGTGAAGCTTAGATGTCCGAGGTTCGGTAACTTTATATTTATATGTATACACATATGTATGTATACATATAAATATACATATATGTATGTATACATATAAATATACATATTTGTATGTATACATATAAATATACATATATGTATGTATACATATAAATATACATATATGTATGTATACATATAAATATACATATATGTATGCATACATATAAATATACATATATGTATACATATAAATATACATATATGTATGTATACATATAAATATATATATGTATGTATACATATAAATATATATATATATATATATATATATATATATATATATATATATATATATATATATATATATATGTGTGTGTGTGTGTGTGTATGTATACATATATGTATGTATGTATATATATGTGTATATATACATATATATATGCATGTGAGTATATACAAGTAGTCTGTGGATGGACGGAACTACTCACCCCACGTATGTACATGAGTGTGAAAACAGGAAATAGGTTAATGACCACCGGAAACCGGAAGACATTAACGAAATCATTGACCGTAACCGGAAGTGATTAACGTAATCAATGACCGTAACCGGAATCATTAACCATAGTTAATGATGTCTAGCATGCACATCTTACGGCCATGCATGGAGCATCATAAGAGAAAGTAGGCATAATTAAAGTGATTATCATAATCAATAATCAGAACTGGATATCTTTAACTAATGGTGTGCTACAGATGAGCCCCCCTACCCCTCCCCTCCTCTCCAATGCAGGCGACTGGACAGAACGCCTCACCCCACGTACATACATGAGTGTGAAATTAGGAAGTAGGTTAATGATCACTGAAAGTGATTAACTTAATCAATGACCGTAAACAGAATCATTACTCACAGTTAATGATGTCTACACATATCTGAGGGGTGTCTCTCCCCCTCCCCTCCTCTCCAAAGCAATAATAATAATAATAATAATAATAATAATAATAAGCACACAAACAAACA